GAAAAGAACGAAGGAAAGAAATAGACAAGACCTCGACACACGTTCACACATCCTGAGAAACATTTCCTCACGCTCAACCTCGACAAATGTCTTGAGGAATTTTGTGAGGTGGTGCGTGAGGTCGTGCTGAGGAGGTGCTGGAGGCAGGGGGGGGGTGGGAGGTGAGGAGGACGTGCTGTTGTGGGGAGATGGTGATAAGGTAGGGTTGGGGAGGCGCTGAGGTATGGTTGAGGAGGGGCTGAGGTAAGGTTGAGGAGGTGCTGAGGTGAGAGAAGGGGGTGAGGTAAAGTTGGGGGGGAGGTGCTGAGGTAAGGTTGGCGAGGAGGTGCGGTATCGTTGAGAAGAGGTGCTGAGGTAAGAAGTTGGGGAGGTGCTGAGATAGGGTTGGGGAGGAGGTGCTAAGGCATTGTCTCTTCCTTGCTTCCTCTCTTTCTTCTCCCTCCTCCCTCCCTCCCTCTCTCCTCCACTCCTCCCTCCTCCTCCCTCCCTCCCTCCTCCTCCCCTCCCTCCCTCCCTCCCTCCCTCCCTCCCCCTCCCTCTCTCCCTCTCCTACCTCTCCCTCCCTCTCCCTCCCTCCCCTCCCTCACCAATCACCCCACTTCTCCATTAGAATTTCGTGGTAAAAATTATTTAATCAGATCCTGGACCTAGAACACCATGTGATGATTAAGAACTTTTATCAGGGGTGTAGTGGGGAGGGTGGCTGAGGTGGGGGAGTGTGAGAGTGGGGGGGTGTGTGAAACCAGGGAGTGTGGGAGGTGGGGAGGGCGTGGGAAGTGGGGGGGGTGTGGGGTGGGGGGTGTGTGGGGAGTAGGGGTGAAGATCAAACTGACATATTTAATAATAATAATAATAATAATAATAATAATAATAATAATAATAATAATAATTTAAGTTGTTTTTTTAAAGGGAAAAGTATATATGAATGATAATATTCTTCCAAAATAAAGCAGACTCAATCCAGATATCTCGAGAGTATTGTAATCTGTGTGTGTGTGTGTGTGTGTGTGTGTGTAAGACAAGGGCGAAATATCCTCCAGAGGCTTTGGGTTAAGGTTTAAATTTACAGCAAAAGTCAAGGGGAAATAACATTCACTAGGGACCTTTTGATCACTGGAAGAGAACAACATTGTACCAAGCTGGGACACTGGACCAACATTGTACTAAGCTGGGACACTGGACCAACATTGTACGTGTGTGGGTGTTTGTGTACGTGAGAGGTGGAGAAGACGATGATAGGGAAAAGTGGGGGGAGACGATGTGGAAGGAGAGAGGGGAAAATGAGGTGATGGAAGAGGAAGAGGAGGAGGAGGAGGAGGAGGAGGTGGTGGTGGTGGTGGTGGAGGAGGACGAAGGTAAATTCTGAACCATAGAACCATTGAACCACTAGGAAGAACCACTGAACCACTGTAAATATCCACTGAACCATAGAACCACTGAACCATTAAGAAGAACCACTGAACCACTGAGAAGAACCACTGAACCACTGTAAATATCCACTGTACCATAGAACCACTGAACCATTAAGAAGAACCACTGAACCACTGAGAAGAACCACTGAACCACTGAGAAGAACCACTGAACCACTGAGAAGAACCACTGAACCATAGAACCATTGAACCATTGAGCCGCAGAGAGGAAAGTGACTATTATATTTATCTCACAATTAATAAAGACAATTTTATTATTATGGCTTAACAAATTTTCTATTCTTGTATTGTTGTCTCCATGGTTCGTAAAGTTTGATAAATAAGGAAGTGAGATAAAATAGGATAATGGTGGAAGTGTTTTGGGTATTGTCTGGTTTATTGTCTCTCTCTCTCTCTCTCTCTCTCTCTCTCTCTCTCTCTCTCTCTCTCTCCTCTCTCTCTCTCTCTCTCTCTCTCTCTCTCGTTTTCTAATCTTCTACACCTCTTTTGTTATCTGGACTTTCTCCGTACTGCTTTCTCTCCCATTTCCTTTCTTTATAATCTAATTTACTCTAATTTTCCATTTCCTCTCCTCGTCACCACCTCTCTCTCTCTCTCTCTCTCTCTCTCTCTCTCTCTCTCTCTCTCTCTCTCTCTCTCTCTCCAGCATCACGATGGGCACACAGACACATCAAAGCAACTCACTCCTCATAGGTTGCTTCGACTGACCCTTTGTAACACGACCTCCTTCCTTCCTTCCTTCCTTCCTTCCTTCCTTCCTTCCTTCCTTCTCTTCATCGCTTTTTTTAATTCTTTTCGTTTTTCTTCTTTCTCTCCTTCCTTTCTTCTTTCCAGCCTCCTACTCCTTCTCATTTTTCTATTCTTTCTTCCTTCCTTCTCTTCCTTCCTTCCATCCCTTCCTTCCTTCCATCCCCTTCATCCTTTCCTTCCTTATTCTCGTCATCCTCTTCCATTTATTCCTCGTCTTTCTACTTCTCTTCGTCTCTCTATTACCTTCTTTAAGTCTCTTCCTCCTCTACTTCCTCTTCCTACTAACCTCTTTCATCTGCCTTTCCACTCCTCCCCTTCCTTCCCAATCTTCCTACTCTTCCTCCCAAATTCCTCCTCTTCTCCTCCTCCTCTTCCTCTCTCTAATCTTACTTATTATCTTCCTAATTTACTCGTTTTACTCCTAATCATACTTCTTTCCGTTCTAATCTCCCTCCTCCTCCTCCCCCTCCTCTTCCTCCTCCCTCCCCCTCCTCCTCCCTCTGATTAATAGACCTACCTGGTAAAAGGTTTAAACTAATTAACAGAGGTAGAGCCAGAGAATTTGATTTTTGGAATGAGTGTGAGTGAGTGAGTGAGTGAGTGAGTGAGTGAGGAGTAAGGAGTGTGTGTACTGAAAATATACTCCCTATAGAGGTTAATGGCACACACACACACACACACACACACACACACACACACACACACACACACACACACTACACCACCAAACATTTACAGTCTTGGCCTCTAGAAGCTTATGACATTCCATCCTTTGTCCACTTGACGCCAATTAAAACATGAAAGACCATTGTTTTGGACTCATGAATCTTTGATCAGTTAGTTACCTGTTGATTGCGTTAGGGGAGGGCTGGAGGGGGGGGGGCTGGGGAGAGGGTTAAGAGGGGGCTAGAGGGGGCTTGGAGGGGGGTCTTAGTGCTGGGGTATTACCTAGATCAAAGACAGGGGTGATAGAGGTTTAATCTGGTCAGCTCAGGGTAGAAAATGGTGATTGTAGCCTTATTGTGTGAGGTGACTTTGTGTGTTTGTATTGGTTGTAAGTTATTGTGTTAAGGTACATGATATTGTGTGGTGGTGATGGTGTTAGTGTGGTGATGGTTGGTGATGATACTGTGTTGATGGTGTGTGCTGGTGATGGTTGGTGATGATATTGTGTGGTGGTGATGGTGTTAGTGTGGTGATGGTTGGTGATGATATTGTGTGGTGGTGATGGTGTTAGTGTGGTGATGGTTGGTGATGATATTGTGTGGTGGTGATGGTGTTAGTGTGGTGATGGTTGGTGATGATACTGTGTGTTGATGGTATGTGGTGGTGATAATAGTTTGTGATGATAACGTATGAAAGCAATTTAATCAAGTTTTAACACAATTACTACATATATTTATAGTCGTCACCACAACCACCATCTTTTAGGACACGTTCATACAGGTTATAGGGGCAGAAAGTTATAGGGGCAGTAAGTTATAGGGGCAGTAAGTTATAGGGGCAGTAAGTTACAGAAACAGTAAATTATAGGAGCTGTAAGTTATAGAGGCAGTATTATAGAAGAAAGTTATAGGAGAAGTAAGTTAAACACGGCAGGATAACACCGTAGAGTTTATGAACACCCCAGCTCAGTAGACTACAGGTACATTATATCTGTCGGGAATTAATTGAAAGTTGTATAAAGGTAAACAGGAGAGAGGCCAGGTGTGTTATGAAGTATTTTTCAGCATTAAAAAGTGTGAATTAAGTGGCTGATTTTAGTAGAGGTAATTGAAAAGTATTTATTCGTGATTCAGTAATTAATCGCTAATATATTGAGAGACAGACAGACACACAGACAGACAGACAGACCCTTTACTATCCTATACGCAAGGAACCAAAATATCCGTTGGACTTACCGTTATAGGTGTAGAATATCCGTTGGACTTACTGTTATAGGTCTAGAATAGCCGTTGGACTTACCGTTATAGGCGTAGAGTATCCGTTGGACTTACCGTTATAGGTCTAGAATATCCGTTGGACTTACCGTTATAGGTCTAGAATATCCGTTGGACTTACCGTTATAGGTCTAGAATATCCGTTGGACTTACCGTTATACAAGTCCTCTTCTAAGGGAATGAGAATGGGGAATACGACGTTAATCGCCATTCTTCCTCCTCCTATTCCTCTTCTTCCTCCTCCTCTCTCTGTCTCTTGATCTTTATTCCTTTATTTATTGTCCCGTTTATCAGGTATTATCAGCGTCCCACACTTACTAAATACATTTTCCTTCTAAAGGATTTAAGATTCACGGTTCACAATGTAAGATTCGAAGTTCACAATGTAAGATTCGCGGTTCACAATGAAAGATTCGCGGTTCACAATGAAAGATTCGCGGTTCACAATGTAAGATTCGCGGTTCACATGTAAGATTCACGGTTCACAATTTCAGAATCACGGTTCACAATTTCAGATTCGCGGTTCACATGTAAGATTCACATTTCACATTGTTCAAGGTCACGTGATCTCCAGTCGCTATAGTTGTTAAGGTCATTCAAGGTCAGGTCCTTAACACTGTTATTTTATTTGGTTAACGTCAGATGATTTTATTCAGCACAGAGTGGGACCCCGTACACAAGGGGTTAAAGCCACGCAGTTATGACGCTTGTAACCCCTTGAGTACGATGGCTTAGTGTCTTGAGTACGATGATTTAACCTCTGGAGTACGATGACTTAACCTGTTGAGTACAATGGCTTAATGTATTGAGTACGGTAACTTAACCTCTTGAGTATGATGACTTAATGCTCCTGGGGTCTTCACGCAGTTGGGGTCCTCACTCTTTTGGAGTCCTCACACTGCTGGGGTCCTCACGCTCACCTCGTCCTCGTCTCTGCTCCTCCCGACGTTCTGATACCTTAGCTCCTCCTCGACTTAAGTGTGACTCAAGCAGATCCTTTACCGAGTGAGTGTCAGCTCCTCCTTGGCCACCAGCTGAGCCTCGAGTGTCGTCGCCCTCAGACACCACAACCTGAAGGAGTGGCAGAAGGGAACGTTTATTAGATAGATAGATAGATAGATAGATAGATAGATAGATATTCGTAAATGGATGTATGTTTGTATGTATGTATGTATGTAAGAATGTAAACATTTGCATACATACATAAGTTCTTGGAGACGAGGTTCACGCCTGGCCGTACAGACAAACACACGGACTTGGTCGGTGTTGGCAAAAGTTGTCTGAGTGTCTGGTTAGCACTTGGAGTTGAGTCAAGTTAACGGAGTGTGAGGTGAGGTGAGGTGAGATGAGATAAGATGAGGTGATTTATTGACTTCGATAGACAGATACAGACAGACAGACAGACAGACAGACAGACAGAGAGGTAGGGAGAAAGATGGGTGGATGGATAATCTAGGTACACGTTCGTCGATATTTTAGTAAAGTACATTAGCAACTTTTGACAACCCAGTACAAATAATCGTATTCATAAACACTTAGAGTAGAGTCTTAATGCAATTGTACCGCCATCTTTTTAACTCCTTAATATAGTAAATAAATCCACACTCAGAATTTTTATTTAGAGAAACGTACAAACAAACACAAAAATATATATAAAAACACCTAGAGAGAACTAAACCATTTCTTCTCTCTAAGGTTAAACCCCGACAAAACGATACGCCCCAAAAAAATCCTGCCAGTTTTTTTTTTTATTTAGGACAAACAAGGCGACACCTGCGTTAATGGGTTTAAACAGTTGAGGATGCTAATTAGTGTAATATATTTCACCTGGCGAGAGAGATTTAAGTGTGTGTGTGTCTGTCTGTCCGTTGAAGGGGAGAGATTTTGTGATAATGTATGAGAGAGAGAGAGAGAGAGAGAGAGAGAGAGAGAGAGAGAGAGAGAGAGCTCACAATCTCACCCCACAGAAAGACAGACAGACAGACAGATAGAAAAACAGACAAACAAACTAGACAGATAGATCTCACACTCTCCCCTCACCACCCCACCTGTCGTGTTATCTGCTCCCACACAACACACGGCCGTCGATCATTACTAAGACATGGAATCAATATATTTCCCGCCGTGTTTATCCAGGTGTTTTAAGCACCACACAATCCTTAATCTTCTCTCAGGGAAAAGATTTCACAGATTTTTACCGATTTTTTGCCGATTTCCTAAGAGGTTTCAATCCGGGGCAAATTGCTTTTACTTTTTTTTTGTTGTTTTTTTGTTTGGTTGTTTGTTTTTTTACTCAGCAGCAGGTGAGAGGGGAAGTCCCATCACGATAGGACTGTTGGTTCACCTGTGTTGAATATTATGTCGATAGATTCCTTAATTCTGACAGGTGAATGTTTGTGTGTGTGTGTGTGTGTGTGTGTGTGTGTGTGTGTGTCTTGGTTGTGTGTTTTCTCTGTGAGTCTGTGTGTCTGCCTCTCCTCTCACTCCCACTCGCCCCCCTCTCACTCACTCTTCCTTGTCCATTTCGTGGTGGTACTCAGAGCTCACGTTCCCTTCCTTCTAACACGACACGTTTTCACATTCCGGTTACACCCTCACCCAGGCTCCACTGAGGCTCCACAGACTCACTAATGCTTCACTAGGCTCCACACACACACACACACACACACACACACACACACACACACACACACACACACATGGCGTTTATTACAGGGAAGTTTTCAGGTGCTCAGAATGGGTTTATTTTTTTTAACATTTCTTGACATATTAAATTTGCTTGATTTTTCTCGTATTTTGTTTTGTTTTTGTTTAGGGTTTTATTATATATTTGTGTTTGTTTGTTTGTTTGTCTTTATATACGATTTTATTAAATTAATTTCTGTCTATTATTTTTTAGTATTTGTTTTTATGATCTGTGATTCTTATGTGTTTTTGTTTGTTTATTGTTTGTGTTTACTCTGTGTTTTATCTGCTCACCTCATCTTGCCCACCTCATCTTGCCCACCTCTTCTTGCCCACCTTACCCTGCCCACCTCATCTTGCCCACCTCTTCTTCCCCACCTTACACCTTTTGCCCACCTGCCCACCTCCCTGCCCACCTCCCACCTTGCTCACCTCCACCCCTGCCCACCTTACCCACCTAACCCTGCTCCTTGACCCACCTCACTCAGCCCACCTCAAACCCCCTCTTCACCAGACACACACACACAAGAGAAAGTATGGTGTTTCCCACCCCCTAATAGGGGATAATCCGCCTATCCTCCTCCCCCCCCTCTCTCTCTCTCTCTCTCTCTCTCTCTCTCTCTCTCTCTCTCTCTCCTTATCTCACCTTTACGTGTGTTTTGCTGTTTACGTATTCTCTTGACTGTTATTATTTGATGTATTTATTTAAGATAAACGCGAATATTTCCAAGTTTTTGAGAGAGAGAGAAAAAAGATTGTATGTTTGTCAAGTCCACTCTGGCTCTCGTCTATCTCTCTCTCTCTCTCTAACTGCGCGTGGCTGTGTCTCTATCTTTTTTCTCTGTCTATTTCTCTCACTCTCTCACTTTTTCTCTCTATTTCTCTCACTCTCTCATCCACATATCTGGGTTTCCATCTACAGTGACAAAAATCCGATGTCTAAGCATTCAATATCCTGTTTCTGTGTGTGTGTGTGTGTGTGTGTGTGTGTGTGTGTGTGTGTGTGTGTGTGTGTGTGTGTGTGTGTGTAAATCTCTGATATCTGCCTCTTCCGTCTTTATTTCTGTCTGTATCTTAATTTCTCTATAGGTCAGTGTTTATTTATTTTTTATTTCCTTCGTCTCTCTCTCTCTCTCTCTCTCTCTCTCTCTCTCTCTCTCTCTCTCTCTCTCTCTCTCTCTCTCTCTCTCTCTCTCTCTCTCTCTCTCTCTCTCTCTCTCTCTCTCTCTCTCTCTCTCTGTTGATGGATCTTTTAACCCACATTATACTTTGGTTTGGTTAAGTAAGATTTGGTTAAGTTAGGATTAGGTTAAGTATTACTTTCTTCCCAATGACTTTTTTCCCGCTTATTTTCCTCCCAATGACTTTTCTCCCTAGGTACTTTTTTCCCAATGACTTTTTTTCCCATTGACTTTCCTCCCAATAACCTTTCCCAATAATTTTCCCTGATGGCACACCGTTCTATTCTGCCCAACGGGAGAACGGGAGAATTTTCTCTTGTTTCCTTCCCGTTGTCATTCCTCCTGACGGTTATTGACGTTCACGGTGACTTCTACGGCGATAGAAAACGAAGGGAGGGTAAGAAAATTTTACATACATATAAAAGAAATGTAAAAAAAAAAAAATCTGAAGGACTGAACCGATTTTCAGATTTGCATACAAACAACTTCTGGTTATATTCAGCTTTATTGAGAGGGGAAGTGTGTGTGTGTGTGTGTGTGTGTGTGTGTGTGTGTGTGTGTGTGTGTGTGTGTGTGTGTGTAATTTTACCCATGTTCAATTCTTAACCATTTCTTAAGAATTTCCATCCCTATTCCTAATCCATTTATCACCATTATTAACGCTTGTAAGCCATTAACAACCATTATTAACGATTAAAAGTCATGAAGCACCATTAGTAACGACTCTAAGCCATTAACACCATTATTGACCATTTCTTGAGGGTCAAAACACTCTTGTCTTCATTGGCGCTCGTAATGGCTCTCACCTCCACCTGTGATATTAATTAGCTCATTAAGCTCTTATCACCTGTCTTACCTGTTGTCCTCTACTTGGTTGCTGGTAATAATGGCTAATGTTTTTCTTACTTAACATTTACAAGAACAAAGGTTAATGTCTCTATCTTTTAAAATTCACAAGGACAAAGGTTAATGTGATTATATCTTAACATTTACGAAAACAATGGATATTTTCTCACCGTCTTAACATTTACCCCCAAAATATAATAACAATGATACAAATAACATTAACAAGGTAAATAAATAAATAAAATGATAAGAAATAGTGATGAAAATCGATAAATAATGTAAAAATAAATAAACCGGTGAAATAAACACACACGTAAAATAATAAAATGTAAATTAATATCTGTAAGTGTTAGAAATATCCATCCCTGTCTGTCTGTCTGTCTGTCTGTCTGTCTGTCTCAAGCCGATGATGCTCTGGAATTGTCACCTGGAATGCTAGGCTGGAATCGACTGGAATATGTGCCTGGAATACCCCGGGAAGATAGAGAGTCACACCCAGCAGAGAAGCGGTATGGAAATGACGGAGTTTACGATCAGTGAGGCAGATTCCCAGAAGGTCGTGGGCGATTTTTATCTCTTAAATGGCAGTGTGAGAAGGTGTTTAACTGACTCACTTAACTGACTCACTTAACTGACTCGCTTAACTGACTCACTTAACTGACTCAATTAACTGGTGGTGTGAGAACGTAATTAACTGAGTCACTTAATCTACTGTATATCACACGGGTAAATTCTCAAAGGTTCTTACGATTAAATTTTTCTCTTAGCACGACACAAACAACACCACCACCAACAACAACAACAACAACAACAACAACAACAACAACAACAACAACAACAACCACCACCACTAACAACAACAACAAACAACAACAACAACAACAATGGGGTCAAAATTACACTGAGACTCTACTGTACGCAAAGATATGTCGACGTCCACAGGTTATTGAAAACAAATTAACTCACCAAACTTTGTTCATCAGGACCCAACATGACCCATGATGACGAGGTGAAAGGTCAGTCTCACCCAGGTATGACGCCATTATCGCCTTGGTATGACGTCATTATTGCCTGGGTATGACGTCATTACCACAAGGGGGCATTGGATGGGAGGAGATGAACGGGTCAGGTGATGGTAGTTAATGGTTGTTACCTGTTGGGCATGATGGTGTGATCTATGGTACTGTGTGTGTGTGTGTGTGTGTGTGTGTGTGTGTCGTGTGTGCGTGCGTGTGTGTGAGTGTGTGTGTGTGTGGAAACTTAGACTACAACTACAAGACAAGAATACGTGACACATTATACTGAGGCTTTCAGGTATAAAGATCTGTCATCACATATAACACACCATAACACATCTCAGTACCACCATAGCACCTCTCAATCCCACCATAACACGTCCCAACACCACCATAGCACATCCTAACACACCATAACACATCTCAGTACCACCATAGCATCTTTCAGTACCACCATAACACACCATAACACATCCCAACACCACCAGAGCACATCCTAACACAGCAGCTGGTCACACATGTCTAAGAAATCAGTTTCTTTGGTTATAATCTAATATAAACATAAGTAAGACATATAATGGCTTAGTTAGACACCAGACACCGTACTAGACATGTTAATAATTATACCTGATGGATTTATGATAATGTTTATTAAGTAAGGCTAAAGTTAGTAATGTTTTAGGTTGGTAAGAATTTTGGTGTTGTGTGAGGTAGTTTAGGGGGTATTGACACAGGTTAATTGGAGGTGTTTGAGGTCAGGTAACATAGCACACCTGAGGGTAAAACTTTGTGTTATTGGTTTAGTTATTACCTGATGTTGCTGTTACTACACACCTTGTAATGGACTAGTGCCTATCACCTGTTACCACTGCCTCTCACCGTTGTAACAGACCACTGCCTCTCACCGTTGTAACAGACCACTGCCTCTCACCAGCCATTACAACACACACTCGGGTCGGTCTTTCATCACCTTCGCATCATAATCAAGCACCATTGACCCAGGTAAGATTATTCATAGGTCTGTACAAGTCGAGGTTAAGACTGGTTGATATATTTTACCTGATCTTAATGCTCTTGGATCCTAATATCTGTCCTTTGATCTTAATATATGCTATTTGAACACCTTATACTCTCCGCGGGGACCTTGAATTACTTATACTTCTTGTTATTAGTGTTGATGTGTGGGAGGTTAGGTTAGGTTATTCTGACGCCTGTATCAGAGAACAGTGGTGTGTGTTAGGGGTCGAAACTGAGTCTTGCTGCTCTCTCTCTCTCTCTCTCCTGTACAACAACCGGAACACCTCACCTCACGCCCTAGGAACCCAGGAGAAGTTAACTCCAGATATAGTGTTATAAACTAACCTCTGGATGTAGATAAAAGTGATACAGTTTTAGTGAGGAACAACTTCTGCACCTGAATGATTTACACCTGGACAATGTTCACCTGTTGTGTTGTTTAGGTCTTCGTTATCCGGAAGTGTTTGGGTTAACTTGAAGATTTCGAATCAAAGTTTATTTCACCTGATGATTAAATACCTTAAAAATAACCTAACCTAACCTAAGTCCCTCAGGTAAGTTAAGGGTGTTTAATCAGCAGGTGAAATAATTTTAGGTTCATTATCAACAGAGAGAGAGAGAGAGAGAGAGATGTGAGAATGGGTGAGAAGTAAGTGTGTGTGTGTGTGTGTGTGTGTGTGTGTGTGTGTGTGTGTGTGTGTGTGTGTGTGTGTGTGTGTGTGTGTGTGTGTGTGTGTGTGTGTGTGTCGTGTGTGCGTGCGTGTGTGTGAGTGAGAAAGACAAAAAAGAAAGAAAGTTAGAAAGAATGAGAAACCAGAAAGAGAAACAAAGAGAGGAAGAGACATTGTAAGACAGGTTCATTACTCTTTACATGTCAGGTGTTGAGAGTAATTACCTGTAAGTATAAGACCTCCACACATCTTACCTGTCAACACTAATGAGTATTATGACACATGAAGGTAAATATATTCTTTTCTCTAACATAAAGAAAGAAAATACTACTACTACTACTACTACTACTACTACTACTACTACTACTACTACTACTACTACTACTACTAATAATAATAATAATAAAAGTCAATATAGCCAAAGTAACAACCCTCAGGGATGAAAGTTGATGAACATTGATACATATACATATATATATACACACACACACACGCCACAATAGACACCATTAGGTTCCCTTGATCACTAAGTCACTCCTGCAACACAACAACCAAAGCTGCTCTGAAATGTATAATTTTCTGGTTGGGGAAATTTTACAAGTCATGAGACACAAATTTACACGTTGATGGAATATTAGTGAATTTCTCTGCCCGGCGGAGTGAGAAAGTGTGTGTGCGAGAGGTGTGGGTGTGTGTGTGTGTGTGTGTGTGTGTGTGTGTGTGACTACACCTTAATAAATCACTCCCCACACACCACAAGCATTAGTCGTACGGCCCCATAATATAACATAAACATAATAACATTACCACTGTGTCATACTAGACTCAAACATACCGTGAGTATACCCAATATAACACCGGTGATTTAATCCCTTATCATACTCACCTGAAGTATATCGTGAGTATAACCCGTAAATATGACCACTATACCCTCATCTTAGGTCAACAGAGTCATAGGCCACTGTGTAACACTGGACAACCATAAGCACTCACCACAAACACTATTTCAAACTCAGATAAACACACCCAAGAAGGTATTTAAATGTGTGTGTGTGTGTGTGTGTGTGTGTGTGTGTGTGTGTGTGTGTGTGTGTGTTGACAGGTGAGGAGCTTCAGGCAGGTATTTGGTCACTGGGACGAGGATGGTTCGCTACCTTCATCTTCACCTGCTTGGCGGTGCCTTTGTGGTGGTCTCTGAGTGTTGAGAGATACTGAGAAACACCTATTGATGGTCTATGAGTCCTGAGAGATCTCCCAGTGTCTCTCAGTGTCTCGTAGTATCTCTCAGCATCTCTCAGCGTCTTCTATTATTTCCCAATGTCTCCTAAGTGTCTCCAAGCATCTCTCATCATCTCTAAGCGTCTTCCTAACATCTCTCAGCATCTCTCAGCGTATTCCAGTATCTCTCACCATCTCCCAGCATCTCTCAGCATCTCTCACCGTCTCCCAGCATCTCTCAGCATCTCTCACCGTCTCTCAGCATCTCTCAGCATCTCTCAGCGTCTCTCAGCATCTCTCAGCGTCTCTCAGCATCTCTCAGCGTCTTGCAGTACAAACAATAACAAACGGGCTACATCCAAGTTACGGTTCAAGTTAATAGTAATTCCAAGGACTTGACTGGACACTATTACAGGGAGTGAGTGAGTGAACGTTTGACGACTCTGCTGGGGGTGTAACAAGGCTGTTTGATGTATTAATAGTCGTTGGAGTCTGTCCTAGTGTCTTTGAGCGTTGCCTGATTGACGGTCATCCTCTTAAGGTGATTGTGTGTGTGTGTGTGTGTGTGTGTGTGTGTGTGTGTGTGTGTGTTTGTGTGTGTGTGGAATTAAACTAGTAGAGAGATAGAGAAGGCAGAGAAATGCAGACTTCTCTAATGAACCCCCAACCTCCCCTTCCCATCCTCCAACAAAAACAACAAAAAAGATTAATGATTTCCGAAACTTAATGATCATTTTCGAAAACTTCATTGGATATTCACGGTGGATCTTCCTTAAGGATCGTTCAGTGTCGGATATTATCGTTCATCCCCCGAGGCCTTGAGGTAATAGAAGCCTTGAAGGTTAAAATATGACGAAAATGTTTGTGATTATTTCGTTATCATGTAAATGTTTAGGTAACTGATCGATGTTTAGGAGGAATGTTGGGGAATATTTAAATTACCACATCAACATAACGTACCCTCCCTCATACACAGTCTTGTTAATATATTCACACAGCATACTTACTCTACACAACATACCCACACCACACAGCATACTCACACAACATACTGTACACAATCTTCCACACCACACAACATAACCAACAACATCGTGACCTCAATCAACCGGCATAATACTACACCTGTTGATGTAGTTCTGGCGATAACAAGGCAGGTAACTACACACACACCAGCCAATTAGCTAACCCTCCCTTGGTGCACAGGTGAGGTAGGTGGAATCCCCTTGTTGTATTATGTTAGTGAGCGTGTAAGAGATAGAAAGTAGATAATGTGTCTGTAAGATTGGGTAGAAAGTGACGAACAGACACAGACAGACCAGACACAGACAGACAGATAGACGAACACACACAGACGAACAGATAGACAGACTTAATAATGGAATATAATTTGTTGAGTCATGACGAAGGAACCAGCCAGCGATTAGTGGAATGACTGGGAACTGCCCAGAGTGAGTAATGGCTGTTTCACAGGCCAGGTATTGATTTATAGGAGAGAAAGTAAAACCGCCAAAGAAGGAGAAAGAAGAATAAATGACCAGGAGAGAGAGTAACAAGCATAAGAGAGAGAGTGAGAGAAAGTAAGAGAAATGAGAAAGAGTGAAAGTCACCTCCTCGTCAGACTATCAGTGGGTCACATCTGCTCGCTCCCCCTCCAGTACTCACACACACACACACACACACACACACACACACACACACACACACACACACACACACACACACCAGGAGTCTTCAGAGTACACATAAAACCTGTAGACTCTCTCCTGTATATTTGTGTGTGTGTGTGTGTGTGTGTGTGTGTGTGTGTGTGTGTGTGTTTGTGTGTGTGTGTGTGTAATTCTCTTCCTCAGTGTAATAATTGAGGTTGATAATATTAAATATAACAACAACAACAATAAAAATAATAATTGTAATAATAATAATACCACTACCAACAACAACAACAACAACAATTATAACAACTACAACAACAACACAACATGTTCCCCTGTACTTATACCAACAAACACAACAACAATCTCTACACCCAACTCGCCCACAACCAACCATAATATCTCCTTGAATTAGT